GCGGTCAAGGGCATGTACCTTGGTTGTGGGCACATCCTCAGTAGGGGGTGTGCAGGAGGCGCAGCTGATCGATGTTTCTCTCTCATCGATGTTTCTAACTCTATCCCTGTCCCTTCCTCTCTGTAAAAAATCAATAAATATATTCAAAAATAATAATAATTATTATTATTTTTTATCTATAACCTCTTTGCTATTTTTTTTATTGCTTAAAGTATTGCAAAGGGTATTACATATGTGTCCATTTTTCCCCCCCACTCTTGACAAGGGGAATGTCAAAAATAATTATTAAAAAAAGGTAAGAGTACAGAATTATGTACAGGTTAACCTGATAAGTCTTTATGAAAAGCTCCATTTCCAGAGGAAATTGGGTACAAAAATGACATCCTGAAAATTCCTCCCTTTTATTGACGCTTGATGAATGTTGCACAGACATATAGAATCTTACATTATCGCCATTTTACCTAATAAGTACAAAGGTAAGTTAAAACTAGCGACTTGCAAATAATTAAAAACAGCTTATACACATGGCCTCATTCTCAATGCAGTAGATGGTCTGAGACAAATCAAAAGCTACAAAAGACTAAACATTAAAAAACAAAAAGAAAAAAAAAGACTAAACGTTGCGATAAATCATATTCTCTCGTAACGCAATCATTTATCAAAACCACACGCAGCGTGAGTGTCACTCGCTAGGTTTCAGCACGTCTGGCTGTGGTATGTTCTTTCCAGGTCATGAGGATGAGGGGGGACACAGTGTCGCCCCACACGGAGCCCAGTTCTTCGGGGCTGTGACCCCTCAGGGGCGTAACTCCCTGAGGGGACCCTGCAGATCTGCGTCGGTCCTGAAACGGCGCTATCCAGCGGGCTTCCCGTCTGGAAACGGTGCTGTCACTCAAACGACCTTACTCCCTCCAGTGGAAGCTCTGCGTTCTCTGTAACAACGCGGGTGCCTGTGGCGCCTTAGAGCGGGGGGTGGGGAACGTCCGGCCCGCGGGCCGTCTAAGGCCCCCAGAGTCGTCTGGTCTGGCCCTGCCAAGGCATTAGCCGTGACTTAAGGAAGTGTTTGACCCAATATAGCAGGCTGATCTCTATTTTTTTAAATGTATATATATATTTTTATTGATTTCAGAGAGGAAGGGAGAGAGAGAGACAGATAGAAACATCCATGATGACAGAGAATCATTGATCGGCTGCCTCCTGCACGCCTCCCTACTGGGGGCGGATCGAACCCAAAATCTGGGCATGTGCCCTTGGCCGGAATCGAACCTGGGACCCTTTAGACCATAGGCCGACGCTCTATCCACTGAGCCACACTGGCCAGGGCCTGATCTTTTTGTTTTGTTTTGTTTTATTTTAAAATATATTTTTATTGATTTCAGAGAGGGAGAGCAAGAGAAACATCCATGGTGAGAGAGAAGCCTGGATTGGCTGCCTCCTGCAAACCCCCTACAGGGGATCGAGCCCACAACCCAGACACGTGCCCTTGACCAGAATCGAACCCTGACCTCCTGGCTCAAAGGTAGACGCTCAGCCACTGAGCCAGGTGGGCCAGGCTTTCAGATGATAACTGTGTATGGCCCGAGAATGATGTTATAAATCTCCACCTGGCCCTCGGCCAAGAAAGGTCCCCTACCCCTGCTTTAGCGGGAAGACTCGGAAGTTGTACTCCGGTTAAGTCAGCGGTTCCCAACCTGTGGGTCGCGACCCCTTTGGCGGTCGAACGACCCTTTCACAGGGGTCGCCTAAGACCATCCTGCAGATCAGATATTTACAGGACGATTCATCACAGGAGCAACATGACAGCGATGAAGGAGCCACGAGAATAATGTTATGGTTGGGGGTCCCCACAGCATGAGGAGCTGTATGAAAGGGCCAGAAGGTTGAGAACCGCTGGGTTAAGTCAACACAAACGAAACTAGTTTATAATCCGGTGAAGGCTGGCAAGTGGCCACTGAGTAGGTAGTTAATCTCATCAGGAAAAGCAGAAAACGGAGACTAGCAGAGAGGAAGGGACTGAGCAAGGGTCCCTGACATCGGGCAGCACTTTTTTATTTTATTATTATTATTTAAAATATATTTTTATTGATTTCAGAGAGGAAGGGAGAGGGAGGGAGGGAGAAACATCCATGATGAGAGAGGACCATGGATCGGCCGCCTCCTGCACGCCCCCTACTGGGGATCGAGCCCGCAACCCAGGCATGTGCCCTTGACCGGGAATCGAGAGAGAGAGAAACATCCATGATGAGAGGGAGTCAATGACCGGCTGCCTCCTGCATGCCCACTACCCGGGATCAAGCCCGCAACCCGGGCATGTGCCCTGAGCGGAATCGAACCGTGACCTCCTGGTTCATAGGTCGATGCTCAACCACTGAGCCACGCCTGTTGGGCGATTTTCCAATTTTCTTGATTTAAAAACTTCACGAGGATTTGCGTTAGCTCTCATGCATTTTTTTTTCTGACTTTATCCTGGTTCACGTCTCCGAGTCAGCCTCCTCCTTGGCTGGGAGGCGGGCTGGGAGGCGGGCTGGGAGGAGGGCACGCTAGGAGGCCTGCCCGGAGGAGGCGGCGGGCGCGATCTTGCGGAAGAACTTGTGTCCTCGGGAGTTGGTCGTGTCGAAGATGTACCCCGGAGGGGAGGGGTAGCTGGCCGGGCAGACCTCCCGCCTCTTGGGGGCGAACTCGGTGGAGTACCAGGTCACGCCGTCGAAGGGGCTGGAGCTGCACACAGCAGCCTGGGCGGGCTTGCAGCTGGCTGTGGGCACCAGCTGGTGGGGCACGTAGTGGGACTGGAAGGTGCTCTCCCCGTCGAACGTCCCCGAGGGGCCGGGCATCTGCTGCTGCGGCCTCAGGGGTTCCCGGGGGCGGCAGGCCTCCCACTCCGGGAAGTCCTCCTGGGTTGTGCTTCTCCCCTGGAAGGGAAACTTCTTTCTCCGCTGGGACGCAGGCCGGATGGGGGCCGCGCGGGGGGCCTGGCGGGGCACCTG